CATTTTCCGACGGGAGTGTTTCAAATATCTCGATTTTTGTTTACGCGATTTCACGATATTTTTCAATTTGAATACTTATCAAGGGATAATTCACACGCGGTCCGAAATAATTTTGTTTTGCATATCTTTATTTACTAGTTAATTAATTGAATCCTAATACAATTGATCCTACATAGTTAATCCGATTTTAATTAGATGACGCGTCATAAAGCCTTGTTTAATTAAGTAAATTAATTAATTTTGGTTTATTTAAATAAAAGTATTTTTTTACTCCCACCTTTAAAACGCCCATTATCGTACATATTAACATGACCTTTTAAATACAAATTGACAAGTTGTGGCTTTATGGCCTTTTAGTCACGGGCTGAAGTTAGTTTTAAGTTAGTTGACAGTTGTCAAATTTTTATACAATCGTTAAAATAAAGTGCCCTTTTTGTAAAATAATACTAAATGTAAAAATTATTTTATTATTTTAATACAAAAATACAAAAGTATTAAATAATTTCTCGACGCCAATATTTGAAAAGTTTATATGGAAAATGTAATGACCTTTTAATTTCGCCGGCAGTTCGATTTACACATAAAAATTTGGCATTTGACATTATTACACATTCCCAGGATGGTTACTCTATTGTTTTATGGATGTCGCTCTACACAAATATTTAATTTAAATCATTTTAAGATAATAATAAGTATTACGTGGACGTGGGCTATCAATTTGTCTTTTAAATGTTGTAAAGCTTTTAGATAGCTACTAAACATTATAAAACCACTGCGGAATTTTAAAAATTATCGTTACTTTTTAAAAATTAATAAAAATTTATGAGACATTTTACACATTTTACTCATATATGAGTATATATACAACTTAATAATTTGAAATTATAGGTTAAAAATCCTTTACCACTAAATTAAAAAAAGAAATTAAAACATATTTTTTTACTAAAAAAAATCGCTTATATAAGAAAAGTTTCTCAGAATTATTTGGGCTATGAAAAAAATTAGGTTAAAATATATGTTTCGTTATATCACGTTTCCAAGATAAGTTCTAAGTTATCTATCCCTTGAAACTAGACAAGTTTAACAAAAAATATGTTAGCATATTCTTATTCTTATTCTGAGACTAAGTTTTTTATTATTTTTTTGCGTATGAATTATGTGTACGAATATGTAAAAAAACATCATGAAAGCTTACAGTTCAATTTTTAAAATTTCCACCAAAAAAATTAAAAATAATAAAAAAAGTTCAATAAAATTAAGTATACAGGGTTTCCCGAAAATAGCGCAATAACAGTACTTTTTAAGCTATAAGGGTTTATGTACAATTATTTAAACTAAGAACTTTGTACACTTAAAATACGTATATAATAGTTATTTAAGTATCAAGGCAGAAATGTCGTATTTATTTATATTAATAATTAATATATTTATTTTAAACCACTTTAATGCGGGGGTGCATATTAAATTGTATCCGAAATTGCATTAAATAATACTAATAATTAATGATGATCAAAATAAATGTCATTTGAATGTAGGAAGTGTCTACGTATACCGTTTGTTGCGACGGTTATGACATATTTGCCCGCGATTTTTTAATTTAATTAATAAAATTAACTTAACAAGATTTTATGAAAGGGTCCAATCGACCTTCGCAACGGTGCTTTTTAAAAAATATTATTTAGTTGCTGCTGAGGAGCAGTAGACACATCTTGAAATGTTTAATGGGTTGCATACAATACTCGTATTAAATCGGCAGTAAAGTTTTACTTTACTGCCGATTTCTTTTACTTTACTGCCGATTGTTGAGTACTTTACTCCGATTTCGGATAATAGTATATTATGTATCATTTTAGTTACAAGTTTAATTAGGCACGAGCGAAGCTTGCCAGCGAATGTTTAGAGAAGTTTATAAACGAGGTGCATACTACTTACTTTATCTACGACGAACACAAAAAAGAACTTAAAGGAAAGTTTATTTGTTAAACATATGACAACTTTAACTCACTTTTCAATTTATAATAAAGCGAACTTCAGCCCGCTAAAAAGCCCAAAAGTCACTGTTGCTAACTTCAGTCCGTGACTAAAACGCTATAAACGCTCGTCAATGTAAATAAAATTATTTTCAGAAAACATAATGATATACGCGTTAAATTGTCAGATTCATAACCTCAATTATTTAAAAAAATAATCAATTACTTTAAAGTAAAAAAAATAATATTTAATTGTATTCAAACAGTCCATAGTAAAATATATATATTTTGTGAATATAATATCCAATTTAGCCCCTTATAATAAATATTGAATATTATTGAAAAGCTGACAAATAAAAAAACATTAAAATCTATATACGCGTTAAATTGTCAGATTCATAACCTCAATTATTTAAAAAAATAATCAATTACTTTAAAGTAAAAAAAATAATATTTAATTGTATTCAAACAGTCCATAGTAAAATATATATATTTTGTGAATATAATATCCAATTTAGCCCCTTATAATAAATATTGAATATTATTGAAAAGCTGACAAATAAAAAAACATTAAAATCTATATTTTTATAAAATTTATTTTTACTCCAAAAATATTAACGAATATATTAACAATATTAAACTTAATGAATCCAAGTGCAACTATCTATAAAAAGTAAAAAAAAACTGTGAACTATACTTTAACGTTAAATAAACAAATTTTGGATAAAGTGAAAAGTGCAAAATATTTAGAATTAATTATTGATGATAATCTTAGTTTTCACATTCAAAGTCTTAAAAATAAAATTGGAAGTTTAAGTTATTACCTGAGAATAAATGATTATTTAATAAACTAAACATTTAATATATATTGCATACATTAACTCCCACTTAATGTATCTTCCAGCTTTTTGGGAGCACGCAAAAAAAGGACTTAAAGAGTTTGCAAGTGACACAAAATAGACTTCTCAAGCTCTTATTTAACAAACCTTTCCTAACGAGCTCTACATATGTATACAATGAACTAAATGTGTTAAACATTGAGCTAATAATGCTGGATAGTGTCAAAGTGGTGTATAAACTTAGAAATAACCTAATAGTAACAACTGTAAACCCAGTGGCGGCTGGTAGATTTTGGGCACACCCATATCTCAGTTATTAGACATGGGACCCCCATCAAATTTATATGAGTTTATAATGACATTATAGACAAGTTCTGCGCAAGCAGAATTTAAATTAAAGTTTGCGAAAAAAAGTTAGTTTTTAAGTGCAACCCCCAGCCTCCTGCCCCTCCAAATTAAGATAATTTAAATTAAAGTGGTACAATATTTAATTGACTGAAGTTTATCGAGAAATTTCAAATTTTATTAAAAAAATTCAAGTATTACAGGTTTTATACCATTTATAATTTTTATTATTTCTTTTACTAAATTTAAAAAATTTAAAATGGTATAAAATCTGTAATACTTGAATTTTTTTAATAAAATTTGAAATTTGTTGATAAACTTTAGTGAATTAAATATTGTACCACTTTAATTTGAATTATCTAAATTTGGAGGGGCAGGAGGCTGGGGGTTGCACTTAAAAACTAACTTTTTTTCGCAAACTTTAATTTAAATTCTGCTTGCGCAGAACTTGTCTATATAATGTCATTATAAACTCATATCAATTTAATGTGGGTCCCATGTCTAATAACTGAGATATGGGTGTGCCAAAATCCACCAGCCGCCACTGTGTAAACCTAACGAAAAACTGTGATAAACATAAACAGCCTTATCACATTGCTTCAAATATTACTAAGTTTGGAGAAAGGAGAATAACACAATCTGCTCTGAAATGGTACAATGAACTTCCTGAGACAACAAAAAACCAAAGAACAATAAAAACGTAAAATTTTTGACATCGGTCAAAAACTATTATTTATCTATAAGAAAACTGTGATAACTGTCTGTACAGTGGAGGACACAGAATTTTAAACGACTATCATCCCATTGACATCAAACTCTAAACTTCCCTTATGGATATCTAACCTTACTTCTGGTAATCACTAGTCTCGTCCTTGTGACAGGGAAAGCAAAAATGGTCAATATTGTACCTTTGCTATTTAAATTTTTATGCATGGACAACCAAATTATGACGTTCAAAATTCCGTGTCTGCCACTGTACCTACAGTTGTATTCAATAAAAAAGCGTACAAGAATTAGAATGAGAGAAAACTGTCAAAATAATATTATTGCTTAAAACCGGCTTATCACTGACATAAGTCATTAAAATAATAACTATAGGTTATAAAGAGCATTGACGTCGTAGGTTAATTAAATAATATTACAAAAATTATTACCTTTTAGAAATGAAAAAAAACAAACATTAAAAAAAATTTAATATTTAGTCATGCATCACTGTTTTTCTATTACTTGAGCCAATCTATTTGGGATGAACTGAATTAAATTTAATACAATATTTGGATTAATATCTTCCCAGCAGTATAGTACTTAGGTATAGTATAGTTGTATAGTTTCCCATAAATCCTCAGATATCCCAAAAAAGCAGCATCCTGTGCAGGGGTGGACATTTTGGGACGACCTGAACCAACTTTTTGTTTTTATAAATCTTCCTGTTCCAGCGTTGCTTAATTTTTAATATAGATTTTTTATTTCTATTATACCACAGTATGAATTGACCATGCTTCTTCGATTCTTGATACTATTTGAGCCTTTTTAACTGACGAGGCATTTTTATTTTCTACTGTCAGTTATAGTGACTTAAGTCAGTGGAAAGCCGGTTTTACGCAATAATGTTGACAGTTTTCTCTCATTCTAATTCTTGTACGCTTTTTTAATGAATACAACTGTACTTCCACATATTTATATTTTATATTTTAGTGTTTTTATATATTATTTGTTGAATATTTTTATTTTTCCACTATTGTACCTGCTATGGAATCATGTATTCTTTTTGGGTTTAATAAATAAATTAAATAAAAGTATTGAATATTTAAAAAATGGACAAATAGAGGTGATTTTTTACACTTACCTAATAGGCGGCGAAAGCTTGTTGCCTTCCTCGGGATCGGCCCTCTGCGCCAAAAAGCGGGGCAGATCCCCGGGCTCCGAGTGCTCCAACAGTGCGCACATGGGCTCGTCCTGGCTGCACAGCCCGACCACGCGGGCCAAGTTCGGGTCCCTGAGACCCGCCAGCCAGCTGGTCTCCCGCAGGAACTCGTGCCTGCAGCAAAACGTTGAATGTTTGTTACAAGGGGTGCGGTTGTTTGATATGAAAATACGGTAAGCAGCTAATTTGATTTTTCAGAGGGAGGCGGTTGTTGAGTTCGTTTAAAAAATAATGTGGATTATGTTTGGCAAATATACACAATACAATAGAAATTAAATAGTAAACTTTGCAAGTGGTTGGATAAAAAATAAGGTATGCATAATGAAGATATTGCTATAATGCCAACATTTTTTCACCCATATCGTCGATGATATTTTCGAATTGAAACCGAACTGCAGATTTCAGTCCGCAGGACAAGTGAAATGTGCTGCTCCGATTTCAATGAGTAAATGTCATCGATTACACAGTACAACACGATTTTCCTTTATTTTTTATTTTTTTTTTAATAAAACAACAGATTTGTATTTATCCTATATTAAATATTTGTTGAAAACAAATCTTGATCTTTTAGTTTGACGATTATACATTGCTTTCGAATCTATAGTGGTATCACAATCTAAAAACACCACTTGATATACGAGGTGTTTCACATTCGTGGTACATTGGAAGTTTCTGGAGAACGGAAAAAATATAGATTTGAAATTTAAAAGCGTTTATAATCCATTAAGACTATTTTTTAATTATTTTGAACAAAATGCAACTTTCGGTTTGACCGGAAGTGACATCAACTTTGTTATTTCAAATAGTACACCATATATTTTTACATTTTTAAATTCTACATAAAATTCTAAGAAAAATTACTATACCATGTCCTATACCTAAAGTGAATAGTTTTCTAGATGTTTGCTATTAGGTTTACGGATATGGAGGTAAAATCTTTGGAATCTTAAAACATTGTTTAAAAAATTGCATGTCAATTCTTTAATATTTTTCAACAAATTACCCGAGAAACCCAGGGCAAATTGGGCTTGAAACGTTAATAACTTTTTTATTTTAAATGTAACATCCGGTATGTTAAAAAATTGACATGGAATCTTTTAAACAATGTTTTAAGATTCCAAAAATTCCACCCCCATTTCTGCAAATCTAATAGCAAGAAAGTTGTAGCCTATTTTTGATTGACGCGCATTTGTCATATTTTAAAGTAAAAAATTAATAACTCCAAAACTATTTACTCTAGGTATAGAACATGGTACAGTAATTTTACTCAAAATTTTATGTAGAATTTAAGAATGTAAAAATATATGGAGTGTTCCATTTAAAATAACAAAGTTGATGTCACTTCGGTCAAGCCGGAAGTGACATTTTGTTTAAAATATTTTAGAAAAATAGGCTTAATTGGATTATAAACGCTTTAAAAAATTTAAATCGATATCTTTTGCCGTTCCTCAGAAACTCTTAATGGACCACGAACGCAAAACACCCGTATTTCGTAAATGTGCTACATCCTGTATATAATTAAAATAATTTTAAAATAAATAAATAATCTTAATGGTTGTCCATTTATTCAGTGAATACATTTTTCATATAAACATTCTGTCTAGCTGTTATCGAATCTGTTATATTATGTGCCGAATACCGTGGATAACATTTTATTGGATGGCATTTTTTCAAAATCTATAGAAATTTTTCATGGGAGGAAAAAAAATCAAATTTTGTCGTACTGTGTTATTAATCATACCATGAGTTGTATTTAGTGAGAAAATATCATGAATTTTAGGTTATACGAAAACTCGTCACGTGCGAACCAGATTCAAATATTACAAACAGTTTTGCATAGGCATAGGCTATGCATGGGTGTTTTACTACGATTTCGTGGCGTGGCTTATAAATACCGTATTTATAAGCCATGGCTTGCACGCACGGGTGTTTTATACCAGGTTATTTATTAAAATTGTGTTATTTTTGTTGGACTAAATAACTATTTAAAATATGCCTGCCTGTGCTGTAGCAGACAGCAAAAATATGAACAGAAACTCCAATACCCAACCTAACCTAACATTACATATTTTCGATTTCCAAAAATAAAGATATGACAGTGGATGAATGCATAAAATGAAAGAATAAAATGTAAATAAAAAACGGTAAGTAAAGGCAATTTTTGGTATACCCAATTTTCTGTTAGATACTTATAGTAACTTTTCACCCTAACCACATATTTTTTTTACAGATTGCAAAAGTTCTTACTAATAATCCAAATTAAAACACAATTGTTTTGAAAACCCGCTTCAAAAGTGTCACAAGTAAAAAAGTATTTTTAAGTTTTTTTTTTTTGACACTTTAAAGCAAACTTGCATTATTATTTCCTGCATAAATGCATTTTTATAATTTTGATACCTTTCACATTAAAATAATGTAAAATTCGGTCTAGCGTAAGTTAAGTTAATTTAATTAAATAAAAAATATTCTGAAAAGTAACTTTTCGAATATTCCAACCCGGTTACCCGCCAGCTTTTGGTTTGCACATGACGTCACACGGTCCAAGAGAGATAGCTATAACATGTGCATCAGCATACCGGTTTTAAAATATAAAAGTACTTTAATAAATCTTATTTTTTCAAACTTGCCTTAATTTCATTCTCGTTTACACCAACCCATCGATCTTTTAGAGTTTATAATTCATTATTTTAATGATATAACAAACACAGGAATTAAATGTCAACAAATATTAAATCAAGAAAAGTGTTAAAATCCTTAGTAACGTGTAAACAATGTGATAGTAGTATATTAGTATACGAGAGATAATGCTGGATATTATTCACAAGGATGAGAGCCGTCAGGCGAGAGACGTTAATCATCCGAGTGAATAATGCGCATTATTTCGAGTGTAATACCATGCTTTTTCTACTCCAATTAAGTTATTTTTATTAAAACAAAATAAATTATAACCTTACTTTCTCCCGATTATAAAGATCATTTTAGTCGCCCCTCGTATATATAAAAAATTTGACATCTGTTAACCTTACTTTTTCCAATTTAAAACCCGATTGGTTTAAATAACAGTGAATATTGAAATCAGCTAATCACTGATGCCTAACAACGTGAATATTGAGTTCATTATTCACGTTGTTAGGCAGGGCAGTTATATTGGTTACCATTATTTACGAAAAAATCCAAATAATGTCAATAATATGCAATAGGAGTAGAAAAACATATTGTCGCTGTGATAAAATGCGTAACTATGGAAAACTGGCATTTTATTGGTTCTAATATTAATGCATTGCATTGTCATTTCATTAATTTTTTCCAGACACCCTGTACATTAAGACACGCCCTCGTGTGTAAATAAAAAAATCGTATTACGCGCCCCAAGCCACTAGACAGTCTAGTGTGCTCCATAGACTTTCCTTTATCCCCCAGGTGCATGCATTGTACTCTTAGTCTTTGAAAGTTGCCCCATAAACTCGAATACATTATCACTTGCATGCTGGCGGCTTGGAATTCGCAACCGCCAAGTAGCTGCTGCGGGTATTAAACGCAAATAAATTATGAGCCGGGCCATAATCGCTGTATCCTTTGTACACTTTACTATAATGAGCGCTTTTCAACTTTTAAGGTTCCATAAAAGAATGATTGGATAGCTGGAAGATTAGATTTTACAGCTGTGAAACAATTTTGATGAGTCCTTAGATGACCAAAACACAATAATAATAATAATTTATAGAATTAACAACTTTTCGAAATAACTTTTAATGCTTAAGGGAATTTAATAAAGGTTCTGAAAGTGGGCATCACTTAAACCATAAACACACTGGACCCAGAATGGGTCTATATTTGCTATACAATTTTGTGTCAAAGGGGTATCTAAGTTTTTGTGAAAATGAGTTTTTAGTATGTATTGTTGGATTGGTCAAGATATAAGGGTGAACATTTTGGTAAATTCACGATTTTGGAGGAATGGAAAAAATGGATATTTACAAATCTAACTCTAACTGTTAATGTAACCTATTTACAGTAGGGTGTCCCATTTTTACTGATGTATTTATTTTACGCCAAAGTGGAATTATGTATTTTCAGATTTTTAAAAAAATATATAGTTGTCACTAAATCATTTTTTATGAGAAAAATACTTTGTTCGCAGTATTTTTAAAACAGGAATTTTCAAAAATCTAAAAACCTACATTTTTTATAAATAACATTATTTGACTATTTATCGCCATAGCACTAAAATAATTTAATTTTAAATTTAGAGCAAAGTATACTAAATTTATCAATTTGCTATTTTTAAAGGTCTGTTAAAGTGTAAATAAATGGCTTAAACATGGCAAAACTTGCAGTAAATATTGCCCTTTAGATAACCAATTTTTTTTTCATTTTTTATGTAGGTCATTTTTATTAATTAATATTAAAACTGACCTTAAACTTACAAAAACATTATATATTCTTTTTATACTTTAAATTGAGTATTAAACAAGTGGGTAGTTTTTGAGTCATTAAGTAGGTAAGTATAAAAACTCAGCAAAGCTGAATTTTATAAGCCGATTTAATAAACATGGTTGATATAAGTATTTTCTGACAATTCTTGTCAGAAAATCCAAACTTAAAATCATTAGAACTTTTTATTTTTAAAAATACCTGCATAATCTTAAAAATTTAAATAATAGTATATTATGTATGTTAAGTTTTATAAACGTTTTAGTTACAAGTTATTAGGTACGAGCGAAGCTTGCGAGCAAGTGTTTAATAAAAATGAGTGTCTAGAGAAGTTTGTAAAACGAGTTGCATACTATGCTTTATCTACGACGAACACAAAGAAGAAATTCAAGCCAATTTTATTCTTTAAACTTTTGACATCTATCAACTGTCAACGGATTTAACCTCATTTTTTTCCAAATTTATAATAAAGCTAACTTCAGCCCGTGACGAAAATGCCAAAAAGCCACAGTTGCAAACTTCAGCCCGTGACTAAAATGCTATAAAGTCAGCTTATCAATGGGAGATTAGATAAAGAAAATAAAATTCAATTTTTAAACCCTTGTTATCCAAAAACCATTTGTAAGAAAAAAAATTGAGCTACTTATATTATAACAACTTATATAAAAGATTAATAGTATATTATGTATCAAGTTTGATAAACGCCATTTTATACACGAATTTAATTTAGGTGCATACTATACTTTTTCTACGACAAATACTTATTATTATCTTAAAATGATTTAAATCAAAAATTTGTATAGACCGCCATCTATGAAACAATAGGGGAATCTGTGTGTCACCGTCAAATGTCATTTTTTTTTTATTTTATAAACACAGATTATAAAGGTTATAAATCGAAATGTATTTCTTGAAAATTGACAGTTTTTCACAGTGAAAGTAAAGAAAATGTTTTATGAGCACTTTACAGTGGAGTCCGTGCCCGAATTTAAGTTAAAGTTTACTGTCGGCGAAATTAAAAGGTATGTACAATGTTCATATAAACTTTTAAAATATTGGCGTTGAGAAACTATTTAATAATTTTGTATTTTTGTATTGGGATAATAAAATAATTTTCATACTTAGTATTATTTTACAAGAAAGGCACTCTATTTTAACAATTGTATGACATATGACGTTGCTAACTTCAGCCCGTGACTAAAGCGCCATAAAGCCACAACTTGTCAATGTGTATTTAAAAGGTCACTTAGTGACATGGAAACATGTACGAGTAGAAAAAATGGTTTATATATTTTTGAAATTTTCTGTTTTAAAAATAACTGTGGAGAAAGCCTTTTCCTGAAAAAAAAATTCGTTTAAAGTATCCTAAATATTTAAAAAAAAATCTTTGTGGGTTATCGTAATCTACAGTTTCAAGTTTTGTTTATGAAAAAAAAAGAACTGTTTTGGGACTGGTTACTAAAAATCCAGCGTTGATAAAGTGTTTGTGATTTCCAAATTCAGATTTTTAGCATACATGTGCTGTTTGGCAATTATTCCTTAACTGGATAATAGTAGTTACATGTGGTGATTTCGAAGTGCAAAAGCCAAAAACAACAACAAAAACAAAGAGTAGGTATGACTAATTAGATTTAAGGATAATAGAATTATAAATTGCTTATGAGTTGCTTTTAATAGTGTGGTAATCATTTCAAAACTTTTAGTAGTGAATACCACATACCACACTCTACTTACCACCACTTCCAAAGTTATAGTTCTAATGTTAAAAATTAAACTTTCTTTATGTAGGTTCCATTTAGTCTAAAACGGTCTTTTTCATACAAAAACATATCAGAATTGCTATGAACTTCTTATTCTTAATTTTATTGTAATTTCACAAATAAAATTTAATTAAATCCACTAAAATTTAGGTAAATACTAAACCTCGTAAAATTGAAGCGACAGATATAACTGTAGGTACTATAACTATATCGGTGAGAGATAATTTGCAAGCGTATAACACCCTACTAAACCTGGTGTCGCAGTCAGCAATTATCAATAATTATGGAGTTTCGATAGAAATCTGCTTTGAAGTGTTTTGCAGACAGCTGTAATAATTATAATTGCTTAGATTATTGGAGGGTGTAGGGTAAGCGCATGATATACAGACAAGCCGCAATCTGCACGGATTAAATCTTAATTTTTACTTTATTAAATTAGAATGATTTACAAAAAAATTTGTTGTCAAGAAGGTTCGGGCAGTACATTGCGGAAAAAGAAAAGTTGCTTTTATACTTAATGGATAAATAGCGATAGGTACCAACAAAAACCAAATTTATCTTCAAGCATTCTAAAATTTAAGCTTTATTAATTTCAACTCTCACTATCAAAGTATTCGATTGTTTCCTAGGCAGTGAAAGTTTTTTACATCCTAGTATGTAAAAAAAATTGAAAAATGATGAAAGCTCTGAGCTATTACTTTTAATAATTGTTATTATAATTGTTATTACGTTTTATATATCTATTTGTGCTTCGCTCAATTGTAGGCCTCAGCTAACTTTGAGGTCATCCGTATGACATAAACAACTATTATTTTGCCATTTAAAAAATTTTTAAGTAGAAAAATGAACTACAAAAAAATTCAAACTACAAAAATTTATTCAAATTATCCAAGTAAAAACATTGAAATAAAATTAAACTAATAGTAACATGGTACTCTTACTATTAGTTTAATTTTATTTCAAAGTTTTTTCATGGATATCTTGACAGAATAATTTGTAGTTATTATTGTGTATTTTTCTACTTAAAATTCTTCAATAAAATTTAGTATAGGGTCGTTTTGAGGGGTGGTGAATCCAGTGCCGTGCTTAGATAAGATCGCTAATATAAATTCTTAAAAATTTACCCTTAAAAACTGACATAGTAGGCCTTGTATTTTGTACTAATATGGCGTTTTTACTCCAAAGGTACAGTTTATCAAGATCTACACTTTAAAACAAATCCGGTTAAAATCGCATAATAAATAAAGATTTTACAGGGGTGATTGGCAAACAAATGGGTCACACTGTATATTGTAACACAAGAAAGTTAATTAAAAAACGTAAAAATTGGGATTTAAACGCGACAATATTGCAAGTTGTTGATAGTTGGTTTCTATGGTAACGCTTTTCCCTTTTGAAAGTGGCAGTGACAGTTCTATATGCAGTGTTATTTAAAATATAAAAATGAGTTGAGAAAATAAACAAAGTCCACAACAAAGGAAAAAATATTTTAAAAAAGGTATGCAGGTAAGCAACAGAAAACATGCTACTTCCACTTGTTGAATAAAGTTTAAAGAGAAGCAGAAAACAAAGAGAAGAAAACCATAGAAAGTAGAAGGATTATCTAATATTAAAAAAACTTATAATAAAAACTTAATGCAATTGTGTTTGTTTTTAATAATTTATGTCACTTCTACACTCATAAGTGCATACAAGAAAAACAAATCATTAATACAGTAGTAGTACCTACTATTAAAAAGAACAGATCTTGAATGGTTTGTTTGGTTTCGTTTGAAAATTTTGATGTCCAAGATGCAATAGTGCCGTTAATTACTCAACAGTAGTACATTAATCAAAAAATAGTTTTAAATCCTTTGCAAAAGAAGCTTTATGTTTTAGTGTCAGATGATTTAAAAGTAAAACATTTAATAAACCAAAGTTCATTTTGTTCATTTAAAAAATTGATTTTAAAATGGTATTGCCTAATTTGCAGCTTATTATAACCTTTAAACTTGGTTGGTTTTCCTAAAACACTTGTTTCTCCTTTTAAACTTTTAAGATTCTATTAAAGAGCGATTGTACTATGCAAAGATTATATTTCACAGAAGATAATTAATTTGTAATAAATAGGTTAAAAGGTAATTCCGACAAGCCTTTTGATTAAACAAAAACACGAAACTAGTTCCTTGTTGATCGCTATTTAGCTGCCTGCGCATTTTCTTTAATTTATTAATTATTCTAAGAGAAATTTCATTAGAGTAATGCAGCGCTTCGGTTCGTCAAAGCCGACTAACTAAATAATTAATTACGTTAAATAATAGTCATTATTTTGCAATTACATTTTCCATAACGAAGTAACATGAAATTAGGTTGGGTTTTCAAGGAAATCGCATAATGTCTCTCTAGTGGGGGTAAAAGGCTCTGTCATTTTAATCCATCATGAATAATTATCATAGAACATTTTACTAATGATTTCATTACTGAAAATTTTCTATTTAAGTTTCATTATAGCTGTTTTTTGTTTTTTTGCATTTGCACTGTTAGTATCGAAGTATCACATTATAAAATGAATAAAATGAACTTTACGTTAAATTTGTTGTTTTTTTACCTTTTGGCATCTCCACAACCTCGCCATAAACTTTTCACAATCACGATTTGTTTTTTATGGAAAGATGATCCACCGTTGAAATCTGGGAGGCCTTCAGCTTCGCATAAATGCACCTGAAACAAAATAAAAATACAATATTTGTTACGACTGCGCCATAATTAAACAAAAATAACATAAAAGGGTAATTCCATCGTTTCGGGTGTTACATTTGTTCAAAAAAAGTAGGTACTTATAATTTTTGTTGTATTTTGAAATAATATTTTAGCAAATAAAGTGCCTCATTCTCTAGGTTTTTAGTTATTCTATCTAAATTATAAAATTAGAACAGTTTAGCATATAGGACAACGATTTTATAAGTCGAAAAGTGTGAGTTTCGGGTGTTTCACGATTCTGCCTCTATGTCCTGACCATTGTTACATTTATTTGAAATTCGGAAAATTTTCTTAGGAAAACATTCCTAAAAATTAAAGGCCTCCAAAAGTATATTTACTAACCATCTACCACATAATTACTGTCACAAATAACGTTTTACTAATTTTTTATAAAATTTTACTTTGTTTGGGGTGCTACAAGTACAAAAATTAAACACTTTATATGGAGAAAACGGTGTTTTATTAGTCTCTAAGTACTACAAAATAAGTAAGTATCAAATACCTAAACATAAATATAATAAATTCTCCTTTAACATAACTTAAGCAGCTTTGGGTACGATTGAAAAATCGGTAGAAACATAATAATTATTATTGACGAAAATCGTAGTACCTATTTGGTATTTTGGTAGGTCTGTGGCCATTTCGGTAGAAATACCGAAATTTCGGTAGGTTTGACAACACCATCGGAAAAGAAGTCACACCTTTTTAAAAGAGGTGTGACTGCTTTTCTGATGGCGGCGCTAGTGGGCCTTCAAAAGGGCCTTAAAAATAATACTTATTGCATTCTTCAAGCAATACACACACATATATCGACATAAGAAAAAAGTGGTAACACCCGAAACGTTTCTACTCGTTTTTAATCAAGAAAAAAACATATCAAATTAGTCTTATGCTCAGATATTAGTTATTATTTTAAATTATTACCACCATAACGTTACTTTTACTAAATATAATTACACTAATCAATCTGTAAGGTATAATAATAAAACAATTACCTGATTTTTCGTTTCGGGTGTTACAGTGTGTAACAAGAAAACACACGTATAACGTGATATTATCAATTTTTTCGGGGCTGTGACGCAATCCACCAATACTACAATAAATAACCTTTAATCACGACGTAGCAAAACGGTTGACAGATTGACAGGTATTTTTTTTTCGTATTTCCAATAGTTAGAGACACAATGGTCATTCAGCCAGTTTACTTGAGTACATATTTTGAAGACTAATTTCATTAGTTCTAGTTTTTTTTGTCGCAGATTATAATATGGATAGAAAAAATTATATATCTTTATTAATATTTTAAAACCAAGACCAAAACCCATTGTACGAAAATAAAAACTCATTCATCACATTAGGTCTAAGAAAAATATTTGAGGTTATATTACTATCACAAAGTATTTTTTTAAACGAAATAGAAAAACCTACTTATATATCCCACTGTGTGAATTTGTCCTACCATTTTTTAAATTTATAACAATGTGCGAATTTGTCCTACCTTTTGTTTTCTTTTCCTTTAAACTCCTTTTTACATTTTTCCGTTTCGATCATAAATTTCAACTAAAAATTTCTCGGAGAGCAGAAAGGTTATTGGAAAAATTTAAAGAGTATTTTGAAGAGAAAAAACTTTTTGGTTGAAATTCTTCAAAAACCTAAATTGAGGGGTGAGATTTGAATTCGGCGCACCAAAAACCTACAAAATGTCTTATTTCAACAAAATAATGTTGATTCAATTTTGTAGATATAACATTGTCTAAATTAAAGACACATTGAAAAAATGGACAAGTAATACCCATTGTTGTGTATCGTAAGTAAATGCTGTGAACCGTACTGTCATTGTTAACTTTATAAGATTGTGTTGTGTGTTTTTGCTTAGAAAGGAATTAAATACATCGGTTTCAATATTAAAATATAATGGTGCTTTGTTCTGCATTTGGTTGTAAAAATTAGACTAAAAGAAAATTCGCTTTCTAATGTAATACATCTATTTATTTTATTTAGTTTATAATTAAATTATGCAAGAAACTGTTTACACTATCCAACATTTTCAGTGATCTGATCCACTTTCTTTCATTGTCTAAGGTCTAAATACAAATAAAATTTTCCAAAAAAGCTAAAGCGATTAAAATCGAATCTCGATTATATCCAAAGACTTAAATTCGATGATCCAGACGCTCAATTGTTACGTAATCGGCGTCTTGTTCTGTGTCATCCGAAGCGGAACACAATCGGGTCCTTATTTTTATATAAACGTGCAGTTATTACAGTTATCGGTTTTCTATTACGCTCCTTTTCTTGTCCAAAGGCCATTTTCCGATACGCTACGGTCCTTTGTATCGGAAAAAGGTCCTCCCTCTACTTTCTTCAATATGTAGCAATTAAGTTGCCTACAATGTATGTTAAAAGCTATGAAATGTACAGGGTGATCTCCTATAATGTCGCCCCCCTTTAACTTTTTTATTTTAAGTGTCCCAAAAAATTTAAAAGTGTACTAAAAAATTCTTTTTTCCACGTATTAAAAAAAATGGCAAATTGATCAATATACAGGGAAAAACAAAAAGTTTATTTTTTTTCAATTGGTCACCCTATATATGAATTTATTTTTTGATTCCTTGTAAAATTCTGAACATAATTCATATAACAAGCCATATACCTAAATTCAACCGTTTCTGAAATATTCGCATTCGAAATGTTCATTAAATGTTTTTTTAAACTGATAGAAATCAAGAAGCAGTATACCAAAATTACTATAGTGACGTTATGTCAATATGTCTTGTAAAAGAAGTAAAAATGGCGTACTCAGACAGAGAAAGACAAACTATTTGAACTGAAAATAATTTAAATATTTCGGAAACACTTAAATTTAGGTATATGGTATGTTATATGAAATATGCTTAGAATTTTAATATATAAAAATATATATATACATATATATATATATATATATATATATACATCCCTAATACAATATTGCGTCATTACAATTCGCGACCTTATTGCGTCTACTAGAAATACGGTATTTAGCGAAAATATAGAAGAGTATATTGGCGTAGTTTTTTTGCTGATTCCAAAAATCTGGTCAGATTTTTTTTATCTTAAAAAATAAGATATACACTTTTTTTTCAAAAGTCACTACATTATCAACTCATTTTAATCTTGATATAATATTGCGTCACGTGTATATTTCATTTTAAATTTTATATGGCTTGTACAGACTTTATTGCGTCCTACAGTGTTGCCAAATTGTAATGACGCAATATTGTACTAAGGATGTATATTTATGTATATGTATATATATATATATGTATATATATATATATATCCGTAATACAATATTGCGTCATTACATTTCGCGACCTTATTGCGTCTCCTAGAAATACGGTATTTAGCGAGTCAACTTTAATAAGATATAAATGAATTTTTAACATGTGATTTTTCTTCTATGTAATTTTTAATATTGATATTTTGCATGTTTATAAAATAATGTCTGTATTAGAAATGTGAGGTTAAAAAAGTTTTAATTAATTTTATATTAAATTTTAAATATCCCTTTTATTTTTTAAACCTTCAAGGTTTTAGTTTCTATTTTTTCTTGCTATACATTTTAACATAAATAATTACCATTAATATTATAGTAATTCTTTTTGAAGGGTATATTTTTTAAGGCTATATTTGTTCGTATTCTTAATGAAAAATAGCATACTTACTTTACTAAGAGAAATAGTAAAGAAAATTATACGTTTTCTTTATTAAGCACATTTGAAAAATCGTAAAGAAAAGTATTATATTAATCAATGCTTTTTCATGACACTAGCAGCATAAATTCGACTTTCGCTTAACATAAGTTCTTTAATAATTAATATTATTAATTAAGCCAATTATTGTCTTTAGTTTGGTATATTTTTGTTTATGAATTAACTTAAATATTAACAATTTTTCTCTCTTAAAGGGCAGCGAAAGTCGAATTTTCATTTTGTCATAAAAAATAGTGTACATATTTCGTGGTGAAAGGCGGCCATTTCTAAATAGTGTGTTCTACATTCGCCTCGCTCGTGCAGCAAAGCTCACGATTGGTAATAGAAAACCGCATAATAGTTTTCTAAGTGTAACTCGAGTCCGGCAAATTTCGATACATTTTCTGATTTATACGACAAGATCTCATCTGAAAACTCCTCCAAATCTTCGGAGTCGTCGAGTTCCATCACGATAGAGTCGGAGGAGGATAAAGTGCTTGTGCTACTAGCTTGATCCATGCATACCTTCTGTTTATAGTCAAGGTCGACTTGGAATTTTTGCAAGGTGTTTTCTTCGGTGTTTTCCTTGTACTGCCTATAAATCTTTTTAATCGGCCAGTACTTACTCTACCGTCGGACTGATCTAAAAGCCAGCAGTACGATGATTTTTTAATAATTGAATATATAATATTATAAAGGAACGGTGATTTTTCCGATTCACTGTGCACTTTTTTAGAAAAGTCTTTTAAACTTATACAACTCGTTTCCAAAGTATCACATTAGCGATCTTCATTAGAAATCTCGTTCGAAATTAAGTCCATAACTCCATCCATAACTTTATCGTCCTCATTACTAATATTTGTTTTTGCCAATTTTCTTCGGGGTTTTCGACAATATTAGCGTTGTCTTCGTCTGCGTCTTCATTATCCTGTGTAATTGCAATATTTTGTTTCCGTCTTATTAACGGTTAACGGTACTTACCTGCATATATTTCCAATCGTTTTCTTTTTCATTAATTCCAAGATGTTTCATGTCCTCTATGACATTTTGTAGAGCTTTTTTAACTGTAGATTTGATATCCAAATTTAAAATTTCTTCTTCACGTGGTAAATTTTCCTTTATTAGTCTGGTTTTTAATCTTTTGTCTTCCCTTGGAAATGTAAAAGTCCCCCTCAGATTGTTTATGGTATCAGTTGTCTTAATTCTCTCAATTCGGTTCAGCATATC